GCAGAGTCAGCCCTCCTGTGCTCCAAACGTAAGAGCCCATCCGACGATTCACGCCATCCCGCGAAACCGTTCCTTCGATAACAGTGCTGCTTTGAAGCAAAAAATTGCCGATTCAACAACTCCCAAGAAGCCGAGGAATGCACCATGCCCTAGTGTGTATATCAAGTTCAAGAGAGGCTCAGGGTCCAGGTAAGGATTCTGATTCTGTGGTGGCTAAGGTTGAACGTCCTAGAAACACCAGACAGGCAAAAGCCACGAGATTCGAACGAGGTTCACAGGAGCGCGCAGGTGTTATTGACATGATGTTCCAGAACTGGCATGCCAAAGCACAACAATGAAATGCGGAGTTGAACAAGACCGGAACCTGAAACCGGAAGCTCCCAAACTGCAGAGACAGAGGCTTCATGATGTGGGAAGCAAGTACGATTCACAGCTTGTAAGACAGCTACATTTCCTAAGATAGTGCATGGCGCACCAAGGCCATTACAGCTTCTCGCTCGGCTGTTGCTTTCGTCATCTGTTTCTGCCTGGCAACGGCATTCCGAAACGAACATGCAGACTCAAAAAAGCGACAAATGTCAGTTGTTGGGATTTCCTTAGTGACTCGAAAAGCTGAGCTTGTTTCCCACGGTTTTGCCAGACCTCAGCAACAACCGAACACCTAGAGATGCCCACAAAACACAAGAAGCTCGCCCAAGCGAGAAACACTGGAATTTCCAAAGAGATCTAGAAAACCATATTGAGCAAGCATGTGTTGGCCATGTCGTTGTCATTCCAATCATTCTTAAACGAACAGTGTCACTTCCCTGAATACGGCTAGCTGTTTCCATAACCTCAAGCTTACAATGCCTGCCCCGTTGGTTTTGCAGCTGCATGTGAACGAATTCACATTGACCATCGCACTTTGCGGGGATTGCTCCGTTTAGCAGAGACGATTCCAAGGCTCGGCGGAGATCTAGGAGCTCCAAGGGCACCATACTCGGGTGCCTCAACATCTTCCTGTGCCACCATCATGACTCTCGGGCATGTGCAAGGGCTCGATCTGCAGCTGATCTCTGAATGGTTTACCGATCTTCCGATACCTGTACAGTATCGCTCATGCTCACTTTGCCCGCACTATCATCGAAGTAGTCTCGTGTATGCATTGCCTACTGTTGCGTGATGTTGCGTGGCAGTCTCGAGTGTCCGTGCAGGGAGTTAGGCAAAGCTAACGAAGCGGGCGACACATCGGATAAGAAGACAAAAAGACGTAAACAACCCAAATCCATGCGGCGGTCCGCGGAGCCACCGGAACAAGCACACGGGACTTTTACCCTCGCAGAACGAGTCCCTGGCCGAAGCAGCTATGCACTTGGCCGGCTGTTTCTGAGCAACGTCCGAAGATAGCGGTAGTCTGAGCGAGGAACCGTGCAACCTGCATAACCCTTGTCTTAAAAAATAAGCGCTCTTTAACTTTGCACCAGGCGATTGCCAGGGAACCTGGCGATCCTTGCGCGGGCTACCGCATCTACACAGAGTTATTTCGGACAGAGGTGGTGCATGATGATGTACACTAACCAGGCCAAGTAGGCTCAAGTTGCGCCGACGCAACGTTGAGGAGACCAGCGGACCGTTACAGTCCACTGCCGGGCCCAATACATGAATAGCTTAAACCCAAAGTCGGTGACGCTGCTAACTGAAACTTTCCTTTGCGGTTTCTTCCCAGCTCAGTCGATGGGAGGGTAGTTACATGAATGCTCCTACGACGAAATGCAGTACCCTGCAACATCACTCAACAGTCACACTCTTGGCCAGATTGCGAGGTTGGTCGATTGAGCAACCTCTCATGTCTGCAATGTAGTACGACCTCGGGCTTTTCAAACAAGCAAGTGGATGCTGCTTGCGGTCGTCGAAGCATCACGAAGCAAGTTTGCTGGCTTAAGGAATGTGCACAGCACAACTGAATCTGCTATAGCAGAGGTCCGAGCAGGAGCTGCAGTGGGATGCAGCACATCAGAGGCCTGAATGTGCAGAAACTGCACTTGTTGCGCACGCTCTTTGACAAACATCTCAGAACCAGACTGCAGCTCGAGCTTTGTGTCGGGGCAGTGCAAGGTAAAGTGAGCAATCTCGGATGAAGGGTTTGGCCAAGAATGAGGAAGCCGCTTTGCAGGCAAGAACCCTTTTGGCACTTGTCGGGATAATGCTACTTCGCAACCACCCACCCCCCTCACCCGCGCCCCCCCCCCTTACAAATGAACGGGTGGGTCCAGAAAGGCACCGAAGCTTCCGAAAGGACCGCTGCTGCCGAGGATCGCTGCTGAAGTCTGTATTCCCATCATCTGTGAGTACAACGACAGCGGCGTCTTTGGCCCTGTCATGGACCAAAGCTAGATTTCACAGTAAAGCCTCAAAATGGGAGCACCTAAAGTCCTTGACCATCTGCTTCATGTCTTCGTACGCAGGATCAGACCTGCCCGACTGCCATACAGACACACCATGGCCAGAGCTCAGCATCGTGGCCTCATTGCCACACAGATTACAGGCACAAAGTTTCTGACCAAAGTGATGCTGCCATGCCTGTTCGGACGACAAGCTCGGACAAACTCTCTTGCCATAGCTTCCTGCCTGATCTCAGAGGCGGGAAAGCCCTCGGCATGGATGTAAGAAATCTCCTGTGCAAACCAGCGCGTGCACATACAACACCTGTCTCAACACTTGTGTGCTCGTAGCAATCGCCGTAGCAGCAGTCATCGGCGGTGCATGAAATGAGGCCGACAATGTTGGCTTGCTGGGGCTCTAACGATGTTCGGGCTGTTGTTCCTTACCTGTACGACAACCGGAACCCCTTATACTCTACCACAACTTGCCGCAAACGGCAACTGAGCCTGAATTCGAGAAAAACCCGGAAAGCCACCCCTTTATCACAACCGGCTAACCAGCTCCACAATTGGCAAGGTTCCAGACGTCAGGATGAACCTTTGAGCAAAAGCTTTCGTTGTTGAACCTAAACCCTAAACCCTTTTCGGAGACATGGCAGCCTAAAAGATAACAAGAAACCAGCGATGTACACTGTACACCTACCCCGAGATGGGCCCAAAGCCAAAAACAGATTTAGAGGAGATGGGAAGCCCTCGACGTGCACCCTGAAGCTTCAAATCGGCTCGCGAGAGCCCTGAACTCGAGGAGGAATCAGGAAAAATCGAAACCGAAAGTCACAAAAGGAGTTGCGTGGCCAGCCTTAGCCCTAAAACGAGATAGGCACAGAGGGTCGAACCGCGCAGACAGCCTGAAGAGCAGCACACCGAGCGAAGTTATCCCAAATCCAACAAAAACGGAGATGGGCAGAAAGTCCACAAGAAGATGCAGAGAAGGGAAGCCCAGCAGAGAAGGGAAGGCTCGTGATCAGACAGATTGGCCTGTGTCCGAAAGGGCAATGGGCAGTAGGAAAGTAGCAAACCCTAAACCTCGTGAGAATCGAAACCGCAGAATGACAAATCTTGAAAGGAGCTGAACCCGAAATTGAGAACCCCTTGCCCCGCGTTCGAAACGCTTGCATCCTGGAGGTTGAATGAAAGGGCCGCCGCCAAGACAAGTTAAAAGGTAGGGACATAACGCACACTATCTGCACAGGTCCTTCAGTTTCAAGGCACCTTCCAAAGCGACTGGATAATGGATGCCCATTCCACTGAAGATTGCATTCGTGGCTAAGCGAAAATACCTCAGACGTGCCAATGTTGTCAAGATCGCACCGTACTGCTGCGGGTCACTCGTGACAGAACCCTTCTTTGAGCCGGGCTTGGAAACAACCCTAGTCTGGTCGGTCAGCGCTGACAACCTTTCGAAGGACTTGACTTGCCAGCATGTCCCAGCGTATGCCAGACTCAGCCACTGGCCATCTTTCTATACTATCCGGCACAGAGTTCAAGGCAGCACAGTAGCTGTTCAGCCTCGCACGGAAAACCGACGGCAGATTGATTGTAGCACATTCCTTGAGAAACTGGAAGTCGCACAAACTGCCGCTGGAGCTAAAGCACGAGGCCACCACATTGTCTCCGACAACACTCCTCGCTGCTTTCCCAAACGAAGTGCCATCAAAAGAAGGGCAACAACCTGGCCGACTGTTGAGAGTCTTGAAGGACGACATGTTGGCCACTAGCCACGAACAAACGAGGGTCTGAATTGCCTGGCACGTGAAAGCCTTCGTTGACGCGACACCAATCTCAGGCCCAGCATGCAGGTACATGCCCGCATCTGTCCTTAGTCGGCGGGTGCAACGTTAATGAATTCATGTATTGCTCAGGACTCATGCAGGTCTGTGCCATTGCCCTGTTTGTTTGGGACTGGTGCTCACGGGCAATGCTGGAGCCGACAACATTGACAACTCCAATGGTGAGGGCCTTGGCAATGCAGCTCACGGATCCCAACAAGGAATGAAGAGCATCTTTGGAACAGGCCGGCCTGATAATGTTTGGCCATCTTGATAGCCTGGACGTCGCCGGCTTCTACCACAGGTCTGAAACCGAAGCAAGGATCAGGGCCTCCAGGGTGTCTGCCGTCTCACCACTTTGTGAGATGGCAATCAGACAGTCCGACTTGCCTGAGTCTGCAACAAGCCGCAAAGCTTGCCGCAAGCAGCCGCTCCAAAGCTGAGGAGCGAACAGATCAGCGGCTTGCGGTATCTGAACTCGCTGGCCTCCATGCGGCCACGCGCTGTCTCAAGCTTAGAAACATTGCATTTGCAAAGCAGACCGGAACTCAAACCATAACATAATCTGTGCTCATGCCGCCCGGCACTGGCGCTTGGCTCGTTCAATTTTTCTCGTGAAGTTCAGGTTTGTGGCATTTCGATGACGTCCCATCTTTCAATGAATGGGGCAGAAATTTCAGCAAAGAGCAGCGGCTAGAAGTCATTGAGTGTTGGACGTATTCCACTTCGGCTGTCACTCCAGCCAGCTTCTCAAAAGCCTGAGTCTGATGCTCGGAAGTCGGACCACAGATCTCGCACATTCTCACAGGCTGGGCACGTACTTCGCAATCAGCGAAGAATGCCAGGAAGTTCCACAAGCGGCGAAGATAAGTCTGCTGGAGTTCGCCATCCTTTCCTGAAAAACTATCCAAGGATGTCTAGCACTGTGCAACTTGGGATCGGCGGAGCTGGGGAGGCTGCCAGCGGGCTGGTTCCATCGGAAGACCTGCCCTCTTTGGCCTGGAATGGCCCCAGCGAAAGTCCACAAGACCACAAAGCGTGTCTTCTGCAATCGCCTTCTCCAAGCCTCCCAACTTGATTTCCCATTTCTCGGGCATGTCCTGGCTTGACAACGACCAACCGACCATTGCCTCTGACGTAATCCATGATTTGCGCAGCAGGTTTTCAAAAAGGCCGCAAAATTATTTTCAGACTTTTCCTGGCAATGTGTTTTGTCTTCGGTTCGGCGGTCCAGGTCTGAGCGACGTGCTAATTCCACATCGCCGTGTCGCTGTCGTCTAGGCGTTGTTCATTGACGTTTGTGCTGTGTCGCTGTCGTCCAAGCTTCCTCATTCCAAATCACGAACGACAACCCTGCCCACGTTTCCACGCGCCCGGGGCGGCTGCAGGCTTGGCCGCCGACTTGCTAGCGCAAGTTGGGTTGGTAATCCTGCCGCACCACGGTGTTGGCTGGGCAACCTCAGCCTGTGAGGGTGACGCTGTGATGAGTCTGGGGCCGGCTCAGCTTTGGCGGCGGCCTTGGCACCCCGCACCTGCCTTATGGCGGCGAGTGAGGTTCGAAGAACTGGCCAGCCCCAACTTTGAGCAGCAGCGGTTTTATGCTTCGGCCGCAACCCGAGGCGGGGAGGGTAGTGTGGGTTCAGGCTGGGCTGCAGCTTCAATGGGGCAAGCCACATATCTGAAACACGCACGTTCATTTGGCGACTCCGGTTCATCACATATCTTAAACCTGCCGCCTCATTTGGCGACCGGATCATCACATATCTTAAACACACCCCCTGATTTGGCGATTCCGGTTCATCATATATCCGAAGCGCACACTATCATGTGGCGATTCTGCATAAGTCTTAAATGCTTAATGCATGTGCAGCTGAGATGCAGCTCGCAGACGCCAGCACAGGAAAAAGGCACGCGGGGTGAAACCCGGTCAACCACCAACCTAAAGGTAGAACTTGGTCCCTGGCTCGCAAACTGCTCCGAATCTTGATGCCACGCCCTTGGAGAATGCTAACTGCCCTTCCAACAAAGGACGGATAGCATAATGATCCACGGCCCCACAAGGAAGGAGAAACTACGACGCTAATGGGCTGCGTACAGCTGCTTACCGAAACTTCCTGAACATTCAAGCATGGGACCCTACCCAACCATCCTGAAAAAAAAACACGCCCCCTCATGTGGCGATTCAGATTCATCATACATCTGAAACATGCCCCTTCATTTGGCGATTCACGTTCAGCACATATCCTGAACATGCCCCCTCATTTGGCGATTCCTGTTCATTATATATGTTAAACACCCCCTCATTTGGTGATTTCGAAAACAACACACACACACACACAAAAAAAAAAAAAGAGACAAAAACAACTCAAGCAAACGGAGTTCCTTAGAAAAACGGGTCCACCGGCTGGTAAATCCGCCCGCGCAGAGCATTGCGCATGGCATTGGGCTGATCCTCGGGCACAGCCGAAGCTTCGGAGATTTCTCGCTCAGCCAGAACCAGGCCCTGGCCATAATTTCTTTGAGCATGAAGTGCTTGAAACCACCCTTCTCGATTTGTTCCAGCCTGGTTGACACTGACATGCAGTTTGCACTGCAGGCGGGCACTGGGCTTGCCACGAGAGCTCAAGTCTCACAATCGGGTTCTCGCCCTGAAAGGTCACCGCTCACCAACCCGCACTTAAAGCTAACGGAAGTCTCGGGCACACGCATCCTTGCGAGGACTCCAAGAGTTTTTGCCCAAGCCAGAGACGATCTTTTGCAGCTCGGACACCTTCACAACACTACGGTTAGTGCCAAGAGGAGCGAAGCTCCCGCAGCGCAAGGAGGCGGCTCCGGCCCCGGCGGCCCTTGCACCTTGAAGCCGGATCTCCGGATTTCCACAAGCTCACCCTCGCGCAAGTACACGACGTCCTTCAGGTGGACCCTCTGAAGTCACTAGCAGAGCACGTTGCTCCAAGTGCAAGGCCTTTGTATGCTCGATAATCGCAGAAGCGTCGCTGGCAAGCATGTGTTCTCCGTGCCCGACCTTGGCAGTACCAATGAATCCGACGCAAATTTCTAGCTCTCTGGCATTAGTGGCCGATTATCGAGCCTTGCGACCCTCTTCGTCTCTTCCTCTCATGGGATTAACACTTCTTTTTGTCATCTTGACCTTTGCAGAGCATCCAGGCAGGATAGAACATGTTCAAGCGGACAATGTATTGAGCTTTCAGCAGTTTGCTCAGCTTAGCTTGGACACGTTCGACGAGAGACTTCTCTGCGTCGTCGAGCGGCGTGTAGAACACTAGCCGTGTCCAGTTTTCAGAGGCCGTGCTTGAAAAGCGGTGACAGTGCTTACAGTTGGAAGCAGCTTTGAGCCTGCAACCTTCCTCCCACTCGTCTTGGTAAGTCGCCACGTACTTCACGCTCCCAACCCAGATCTTCGGAATGTTGCACAAGAACAGTCGCGCAACATACCTCGATCAAGCCTCGCTTACACACACACACACACACCAGCTTGGAGGATCTTCTTATGAAGAAGATATCTGCAGCTGAAGATGTACAGACATGATCGCTGAACGTGCATCGCCCTGGACGGCAATGGTTGGACGCGGTCGCCCTGATAATTCTCAGCATGGAGAAGAAACAGCCGGGAATGGGCCAAAAGTTGCAGCAACGGTTGTTCGGATCTGGTGCAACGAGATTTTGGCGGCATCTGCCAACGCTTCGCGATGCAATCTGAACATTACGATTTGTACTTCGCTGAACTGCATGCTTTCGCAGTGTCTATAGCTCTTTTCGCAGAAGTATCGTACAAATAGCTGTGGCAGCAAGATCTCTGTTGAACGCCTGACCAAACTTACTCAGCAATGTATAGCAGTGTATCGTTATTCTATCGCCACAACTTGCACCATGGCTTCGTGGGAGGTGCAGCGAGGCGAGTTCTCGAGTCTCGAGAGCAGGAAAAGGTCTTGAAGCAGTGAAGGGCAGCCAGAACTGCCTCCGCAGCTTGTCGCGTTTGCCTTTGCTGATCTAGGCCTAGGCCTCCTTCAAAACAGCGGCAAAAAGTTGTGGGCCACGTTGGTTAGCAAATTCTAGGGGGTGTTCGGACTCGCCAACACCAAAGCGATCTTTACGGTGTCGCCATGGGATGATTCTGCTATCTTCTGAGAAAGACACTCCAAGAATCAATGGCGAGCCCTTCCTTGCGCCGATGATCAAGTCTGGCTCGTCCTCTCCAACAGACGAAAAAAGCAAAAGCACCGCTTTACATTTGACACCTTCCGGCCACACTCTGCTCACACCCCTTTCATTACCTCGCAATTTGGCTTTATCTGCAAAACTCGGCTACATGCGACCCTAAAACTGAGCATATTTCCGTCTGACCTACGTAGGCAAGGATTCTGGGACCTAACAAGTGGGGACTCACAGTGGATGTTCTGCTCCGGTGAGTCGGCTCGTGCTTGTTCGTCGTATTATGTCGCTTCTTGCCGGATTTATTTGGTGAGTGGAGAGGTGGACATATTCAAAGCAACGAATATCCCGCAGCTCCAAACCCTACCGGACCGTATCTTTACTCCGGCTGGTGAGAGTTTGTCTCGATGCATTGGTGAGACATGGGCCGTCTGCCCAGCTGAGGCACTTCAGCAGTAGCAACTGGGGGCTGTTCCCCACTGCATGTACCATGCTGATCGGAGAATTGCAACCGTGCGCATGTTCGGCGACAGTGCACCAGCGAGATACACGGTTTCCTGTACAAACTCATCCGAAGTGGAACATGCAGTAGCAGGCTTACTGAAGTCAATGCTTCTGCTGCAGACGAATGTCATAGTTCCTGACTGCAGTTACGATGTTTGTCAGTTTCTGTTGCACCAAGCTGACTTCTTGTTGTAGTTCCACACATCGGGGCCTTCCTTTGAACTTGATGGTTTTCGTGTAGGAGATATGATAAAGCTTGGCCATGGCGTGTAGTGCTTCCATCTCCGCAGTGCTATCACCTAAAGCAACCAAGTTTGCAATCGTTTGAGAGTTCTCTTTCACCTGGCAGAAGGCTTCCACTTTCCACTGTGTCGGATCATCTGGGAATTTCTCCTCGAACCTCGCCCTTGCGGATACAATCTCGACATCCTTCAGGTGTTTCGCCAGCGTGGGCAAATACTTGTCTGCGCTGTGCTGCACCCATCCTTCAATCGCGTTGGTGATGATGATCACGGTCCCCAGCGTCTTTGCCAGCTCCAGCAGTTTCACGGCTTCTGCTTCCAGGGCCAAGAGGTCTTTGGCAACAGGTGGCCGAGCCGACTGTATGGCAGAAGTACAGAGGAGTGTGTCGTCCCAGTCGAAGATGATGAGGGTGCAATGTTGCTTCGGCCTGTCTTCCCTGGACTGGTATACAGCATCGCGCGGCACAGCATCTTGCGGTGCCATGCGGCCAGCTATGCCCAGCCTGAAAAGGTACTTGGCCTTTGAAGCCCCACCTTCTGATTCTGGCTGCGAAGTAGCTTCCCCAGAACCAGAATCCCCAGAATCTGAAATCCGTGGCGTGTCACCATCCTCAAAATTTGAGGCCGTGGGTGACCCTGTTTCCACCGTGAACTCCGGCAACGGCATGGGTAACACCGGTCACAGGTTGAGGCATCTGCAGGCTTGGTGCGAAAATACATCAGCGCTTACTCGGAAACAAGCAGACCGGAAACCGAGATTAGCTAGCACAAGATGTTGCCTTGTCCGGCGGGTCCTGGAAGATGAAGGCGACGCCATACGCTCCCTCACAGAGCCGGAGAGCTGTAGCGACGACCTGACAGCTGTGGCACTGCTCGCACACACAGCCGCACCGCGACTGTGAGGCATGGGGAACGCGTGCATAGGCGCAGCGTTTGAATGTTGTCAAAAAACAAGTTGCACCTCGGTGTACGTTGCCCCCTCCATCTGCTTCTTGAGGTCCTGCAGTAAGCAGTCTCGTAGGTTGGGCCAGCGCACCGCCTGCATGTCCTGTACAAGGTGAGCAAGCAGCTCGGTGTCCGTTTGACTCACGAACTTGTAGCCTTTGCTGGAGAGCCTTAAGCAGAGACCGAGTAGGCACGGAACATGCGAATACAGCTTGACACGTGTGCATATCTGTGGAGGTAGCTGCTCTTTCAGCGCGGCATAGTTCTCAATGACACCGTTGTGCACTACGGCAATGCCTGACACAGAATCAAATCTTCGATGCCCACAACTCTTGACTCGCTGAGATCCAAGCTCGACTCTGCGGTCGTCTGGGGGTGCGCGTTGCAATCCGTAGGCTTGCCGTGAGTTGCCCATCTGGTGTGCCTAGGTGGATGTTACGCTAGCGCCCACAACACAGAACTTGGTCTGGGGGGCCCACGCAATGCCCAGCGTGCCAGAAACCTGGGTGCCGGCGTGTGCCACATCCTCCTCCAAGTTGGACACCTAGTCGGTTTGTCATGCCCTGCCCTTTGATGATCCTTGAGACTGTATCCCAGCTGGTTGGAAACCGATGGGAATTGCAGCGTCAGGCCTTCCCAGCTTTTTTACGCACCTTCAGCGGCACGCCATGGATGCCGATGCCAGCGGAGTCATACCCGCGATATCTTAGCAAGGAAGCTTACTACAGCGAGTCGTGCACTCTGCATGTTGATGAGAATCTTAGGCGCTGCACTCCAGACGCTTCAGCGCAGTTATCAACAGCGAAGCTGCCTGCCCCAACTAACAAACTAAGTAGTGCAATACTGCACGGCACTTCAATCATGTCGTGAGCTCGACCTGTGAGACATACCAAATCAGAAACCCGCCATCATTAAGTAGCGGTGTTTCGTACGTGTGTCTCGACTCAGCATGCGTCCGTTGCGTAAAGCTGCCAATGCAACACAGCCTGACCCTCTACCTGCCCTGAAGGAGTTACCTACACGGACCGACACCCTCAAGCCAAACCAAGCAAATCACTTTGCTGCCCGCGCCTCCCTGTTCCCAATATAGGCAAAGATTCCACACATAGAAACTCCTGTGACAACAGTCTGGCCCCGAATCACGACTTCGACAATACAAGAACTTGCCAGGCCTCGACGGGCTTGCAGAAGACTCAATCTTGAATTCGCTCGAGCCACAAAAGTGCGAGTACAGAAAACAACGTACTAACCCGCAGAATTTCAGATGCTGCAAGACCAAACGTCCACAAGAAAGATTTGCAGCGCTTTTAGCAGTAGTCTAGCCTGTTCCATGCAAGCTACAGAGCACTCGTCACAACATCGGAGTCATGGAATGACCTACACCGTAATATTTAGCCGTGAATGACGACATGACAACGGTGCACATTACCTGGAAGGCTGCAGACTGGTGGACTGTCATGGAGCAATCGTGAGACAACCAGGTGAAACCCCATGCTTTAAAAGTTTCAAAGAAGCATCACTTCAGCGAATGCCTTCTCTGGCTGTCTTGCCAGTCTCATTAGCAATTGTATCATCTGCACCCTGACGAACCATCGCTTTGACACCGCAAGTTCGTTCGACGAGAGCCAACAGCACAACAAGGGTCCTACAACGAGCCTTTTCAATGAAATACTCCGCAATATCCGCATAGCCATATGCGAAAAGAAAGTGCAGGCCAGTATTGCCTGCAACGTCCAAAGACCAGGTCTTGACACACAAAGTCGTACATCGCTTTACACGAGGTCTGCATTGAGCACGTCACCCTTGGCATTTTGTGCATCCATGTCGCCACCGTACTTGATGGCCTCGGTTGCATCTGGGCTTAGACCACGTTTTAGCATGACAAGCTTGCCTGAGTCTCTGACAAGCTTGCATATCCTTTTGTTGCCGTTCTGACAGGCGACATGGAAGAGTCGATTGCCTCAGGACAGGGAAGCGTGGGCCAGCTATGCCGCAGCTTGTTCAAACTCGAAGCCGCTGAGCAACAGACCGAACGAGTCTGCATAGTCGGGGTTAAAGCCGGCCAACAGGGCCGCTTCCACCTCCTTGTGCCTGCTACATGTTGGCTGCAGGTCATACAGTAGGCATGCTTATCAAGTGCATAGACTGTCGGCGTGTCGAAACAACTGGCCGGTCTTCCCCTGTCTGTCTGAACTGGCTAACATGGGTGCGCTCGTTCGATGGTAGTTGGCTGCGCACTTGACCATGTCAGAGGCCACTTCTTCCCGCCCCGCTCAGTCCCCCGCTCACAGAAAGCACCAGAAGCATATTCCCACCTACATTCCTGTGAGACCACTGTCGGAGCCTGACAAGTTAGCTTCTCACATGACAAGGATGTGTTAAGAAGATACACTTCTTGCTCTCCTGCCGGGACATCCCGTGTCTTTCAGTCCACCTTCCACACTTTGGCCCGTGATTGCTGCTACATCGAGGACGTGCCGCTCGAACGAGAGAGCGTTTTTCATGCATGATTTTAGTGGCCGTAATGTCGTCTGCTCTTCACCATTTCTTTTTGAGCGCATGTTCTGGCAGCCAAGAGCATTCTCGAAAGAGCTTGGCATCACCCGACGACTGTTCTGCTGCAACACGATCTCTTGTACGAGCCCTACCCGCTCTTTGTCTGGATCGCTGAGGCGCAAATGCAAACAAGGCAGATTTGCTGGTGCTTTTTTATTCTTTGTTACCAACTATTTGCTCCGCTGTGGCATGACCATAAGTTTTCAGATGTGACCGGCCAGCAAACCTCCAAATGGGGACCGAGGAAGCTTAACTTTACTGAGTCTTTGCGCATAGCGTTGGGGCGTTAAAGCTTCCAGTGAAAGTCGGGCCTTACGTTGGATTGAAGGCCTAACCCCATGTAACCGCGGGTCAGATAAGTCAGGTCAAAAGTCAGGCCTTGTACACTCCCGAAAGGAACCGCGTACGCGCGGCGCGAAACGATCCACAAAACAAGGGTCCCAAAGATATCAATCACGTCGGTGGAATCATAACACATCAGAACCAGCTATTCCCTATGTAGACGCTCGATTCCACAAGCACGCACTCAAGGCAGACATCCGTGGCATCACAGCACAACCAAGCCAGCCATTCCCTATGTAGATGCCCGATTTGATTGCTAAGCTGGTTCGCGAGCTTGGTCCAAGAATGTTTGGTAAGTGGTGCAATTCGCGTAAGCAAAACGTAAGGTGCGCGTAAGCAGTGCGTAAGCGGCGCCTCCCGTTGCCAACCCAGAGCTGCACAAGAAACGCATCAGTGGCATCGCAGCAAACAGCAAATCAAAGCAGCCATTCCCCATGTAGACGCTCGATTTCGTAAGCACCCGCACAAGAAACACATATTGGATAACAGATTGGTTTAGGTTGTAGGGTTGAGGGCCTACACCGATCTGCTGAAGTGCAACTTGAGGGCTTACTCCCATCTGCTGAAGTGCAAGTGCTCAAGAGAGGTTTGGCAGGCCGTGAACATCGAAAACATTGACCGGCTTAGACTTTCACCGTCGCCTGTGCAGGGCGAGGTTGTGTACTCCAAAAGGGTTAACACTGTGAGTTTAGGATACACCATGGGAATGTTTGCGATCTGCCGGGGCGGCTCCATGAGTCGCTGGACCTGCTTGCAAGAAAGACCCGGTACTAAACGAGTTCCAATCATGTTTGGGTTGCAAACCATACCCATTGAGGTGTTTAGGGTTGTAGGGTTTAGGGTTGAGGGTGTCATGTTAGATGACGACTATGTTTCAAAACATGTGCTGAATCCCCATGCTACCGCAACAAGGCCCGACTTCCTGGCAAGCGTGCCCCCAAGGACTGCAGCCACTCAAAAAAAAAAGGCCGACTTCCACTCTGACAGCTGTACTAGCTCTGCCACGACATTTGGAGTCTGCCGCCGATCCGAAGCCTGGCCTCCCGTGTCTGGCCGCACTGTACACCTGCACAGCTCGCATGAGAGTGTCGAGTCCTGTATTCTGTATGCCGCAATATGCCTGTCAAATGTTCACTGCATTAAAGATTCATGCATACCCCGCATGAGCCTGTCGAGGATCCAAAGACACCCCTTCCTCGACCTGCTCCCTCACCGCACCTGTCGCTTGCAGCGGTTTACGAATTCAGCTGCTCATCACCAAGGTGCCTGGTGGCGGTGGCGGGCTCCTACCGGGCTCAGCAGACGGCGCAAACCTGCGCCGAGCCCAAAACGAATGTTGAGAGTCCATATGCAACCTCAAAAGCCATGGAAGCCAGGGCCAAGACGCATCGAATGCTGCCGCCATAACAGCTTTCTGCTTGCGTCTGTCAGCCTGGGCCACAGGTCGTGCCCTCTGCCTGCAAGCAACACGAAGACATCGCCTCTCGGCGTTGAAGTGGCTGGCTGTGGGTGAGACCTAAATGCAGACAGAATTCTGTCTGTCTCTGCAGCGGGTGAGAGAGCCGTGAACTCAGGGACACCGGGCACCGGGCCATGCTCATATAAGCTTCCGAGCTCAGCTATGCGAGCTGAGCCCACCTCAAGGCCGCTTCTCTTCTCTCGCACCACCGACAGCACGGCACTTCTTCGGAAGCCACTTGGGCGCGCCACCGACGAACTGGCATCATAGAAGGATGCAAAGTCAGAAGACCTTGCGGATGGCTCCGGCGTGTAGAAGGTGGAGGTCCTCGAAGTAAATGCTATCCCTCACACACTTAACTTTGACCCCCTCTGACTCATGTGCGGCGTCGTCCTGGCACTGAGATCTGGAAAGGGACCAGACGGATAGGCCCCGCAGACAGCGGCCTGTGGAGCGAGAGAAAAACTGACCTAGAACTGTTGGAACAGACAGCGCACAACTGACATGCTTCTGCCAGCATGCCTTCCAGTCCGGAACGGAGCTACCGCCAGGAGCTTCAAAAGACACACAACACAGACTGAAAAGCGGACCTCGGCAGGGGTGGGCGTGTACACCCGGCCCGAGCCAATGCTCCTGTGCGACACGTGTATCAAATGCTTCCACACCTTAGGTTTGCGATGCAACCTACTCGCAGTAAATGATATCTTTGTGGCCGCATAGCTTCGTGGAAAATCGCCCCAAGAAATGGAAGAATGCAGACCCTGCCCGACAAACCCTCCGTCGAAACGATCAAAAGCATGCTCACCACATGTTCAGCCACAGTCTGTGCATCCTCAACACGTGACACAGCTATTGACGAAACGGTACATCCTAGAAAATCGGAGGTCGACACTAGCAGCACTCTCCGCACAACGATAAATATACATCCAACACGAGACCTCCAACCACCAACCTTGCAAGCCCGCCCGAGCACACTGCGGGTGTGCGCAAGGACAACACGCGGATTCGTCCACGTCGGTAGTGGCTCGCTACACCCTCAAAACCGTAAACCCTGAAAGCCCTAAACTCTTGAAACATATTGAATCGGCTTTGTAGCTGGAATCGCCAGCGCTTGCATCTGGATCGTGTCCGGGTCGCTGGTGCTTGATACGGCTGTGCTTCAATGGCAGGAGATTGAATCATATTTACTCGCGATAGGCCGAAACAAACTTAGCTCGTGGCCAGTTCTCGAAGCGGGCTTCAATGTCAAAAAGGGATGACCCTACAGACGCGGAACGAGATATTGGGCAGTAAACCCAAGGCGAAAGGAGATGCTAAACTGCTACACCGCACGACCACAACCCAGTGAAACGAAGTGATGGATGGCAAACCCTAAACCCGAGAAACACGTGTTAGGTGGGTCCTGAGATGCTGGCAATAACTTCACTTTCCGCTAAACCCTAAATGGGTGCAAGGCGCCAACTGCCCAACCCCGTCCCCACTTAACTACCCGTCCCCACTAAATTAGGTGGGAGATGCAGGGTGGTTGGCTAGAGAACGATGAACACCATAGAAGGCCTTGAGACATGCAGGGTAGTTGTCGGGTGGGAAACCCCAAATCCTGAAACCTCCTCCTCCTACGACTACTAGAAATAGCAACAAACCTACTCCTACTGCTGCTGCTGCTGCTGCTACTGCTACTGCTCTCAAAAGCTCGGCATGTGTAATCGCACCTGACGATACACATACCGAGCTGGTGAGGGGTGCTTTTGTATGACTCGTGGCTGCAGGTCGCTGAACTGCTTGTGCTGCAGTGCTGCAGTAGACTCGTTCTCGGGTTCCTTGAACCAGCCGGAGAGTGTTTTGAGTCCTTACTATCTCAGAGGCGGCTCAAGCTTGTACCGGAACTGCAGACATGCGGCAAAGGCAAAACAACATCCACCATACGTAAGCTTTGAAGCAGTACTAGTTGGGCAGCTTTGCAGAACCCACCCTATGCTGAGATCCTTCCGGACAAATTGCTTCGGGAACTCCGAGCAGATCCACCTGCCGACCCTGCCAGTGCCATATCGCAAGCTTTCAACTCATAACTCCTGTTGACACTTGTGCCTGGTGCAGGTGACAAGGGCGGCGTGGGCGGATTGCGCGGAGTGCTGGCATTGGAGCCTGCAAGGCTATGATTCCACATCTTGACAACATGCACCAGCAGTATTACTCGTCAGAGGTTGCCAGTTTCCCCTCCAAAAACCCTTTCCCTCACTTCATCCCCTTCCCAGTGACCCACCCCACCCTTAAGTGGCTACGCACACCCCGTGTAAAATTTGATTTTGGCTTCAAGCCAGAAAGTGGGCTTGCTGGTGGGAGCGCCCAGATTTGCTCAACCGAAAAGAAGTCCCCAACCCCCCCCCCCCTTCTTCCGGGCCTCCCTGCCTTCCCTGCCCTGCCGACATTCGTCTTGCGCACCCTCAACCTGCTAATCGGGCCCTGATGTGGAGACTAATCTTCACCTGCGACCGGGCATGACCGGGCAGAGGCGGACTGCACGAAGCGTTTACAAGGTGACGAAATGCAGTATTCAAAGGCAAAATGCCTACGGATGCACAGGCCAGATTCAAGCAGACACACGCTTCGCCCAAGACATGAAAGAAGGACAGTTCTATACTGCATACTACATGACAGCACAAACTGTAAAGCTCCCTTTCTCTCTTTCTTTCACCAGGGCTAGGGGTAAGGGAGAACAAGTCCCCCTCACCCGCGCGCGTTAGCGCCCCCGACATGTGGGGAGCGAGAGGTGAGATCCTCATGCAACAGAAAGGCAGAAGCGGCTTGCGACAGACGGTTGCGCCGAAAAGAACATCAGTCTAAACAAACAAATAACGAAAGGCCTGTCGCACCTCAACTGCAACTTACTGCAAACATGGAAATAGTGACTCTAACAGGTGCCTTGATCTCTTTCAGCCTCGTCACCTCACCTAGGGGAAAGACCCCGAACAAGCAAAGGAAAGAACCCCCATCGCGCAACCTACTGAAGACAAAAAACCTGAACTGAAAGAGCAGGGGCTATTCCCCTGATAGGCACACCGGTGGGCAGGCTTTGAAAGCAGGGACAGGCGAAGTACAGGGGCCAACTGAACTAAACAACCACGAAACAAAAAGAGGATTCCAATTCCCCCCTGCATTCAAGCAGCCTTCGCACGTAGACTACAAGTTCAGTTGCTTCGATGGTCTCACTTTCGAATGTGCTCAAGATCAAGAAGGTAAATGAAAACTCACTCCAAAACCCTAACACCCCAAGCCCCGAGAACCTCCTGAAGACAAAGAACCTGAACAGAAAGATCAGGGGTCCTCCCCTCCCTTTGCTGAGAAGAAAATGAGAAGCATCGGTTGAGCCAATCTAAGCTTTCGCAAGTTGCTCTCAGAAGAGCGCATGGCTGGCGCTGTCCAGCGAGGAGAACACGGCAGCAGGAAGATGCATCGGGGTCACCCCCGCCACTTTGCTCAGTTGTGGTCATCAGGGGAGTCGGCATCATCCATAACTGCGTGGAGGCGCCTGCGCCGGTGCGATGTAGCACTAGGGGTGGCTCCCCCTCCGATTCCATGAAGTTCGCCAGGTCGAAAGTCTCGGGCCTGAAGCAGCACAGTGCTGGCCTCCGACTCCGGCACTCATGAGGGTGCCATCCCATCAAGTAACGTTGGGTTATCACCCGCAGAGAGGACGATAGGCGTACCCCACAGTGCTGTCGTCCATTGAAGCAGCAGGCTATGTGCTTGCTGGATAATCAATGCACTTTGGTGTTCGACGAACGGAAGAGCTTGTTCGAGAAGCTGTTGAGCACGAAGGATATTGTAGGGGGTGGCCTCCTCGTCTCGGCTTGCATCCCCTCGCCCCGCGGCTTGTGGTTGAGCATGGCGGCGGTCATGTAGTTCAGCAGGAGCTCGCGCAGGTAGAGCTGGATCATGGTTTCCCATCTGGAAACGGGGGGCTTGGGTGCTCCCCGAAGGCTGTTCTCCCGTTCTGCGCTTCTTTGGGGAAGGGCTCCCCGACTCCTCTTGAGGCCTCGTGCTTGCGCCAAACCTCGTTTGGATCCACTCCAGGAGCAGGTCCATGTGTCCACTGGCACGGCTGGTAGCGTGGAGGGTCTCAGTGAGCGCCTCCGTGATGCTCGCAACGCCCCCTTCCCTGACTGCTAGGTGGCTGAATGTGAGACACTGCAACGCTGTGCCGAGGCTCGTGTCCCCGGCTTGTGCACCAGGGGCATGGGGAGCACGCCCCCAGCTACGCAGCATCTGCTGCCCTTCAAGTAAAAGGGTCTCGATCCTCCCTATTTCCTTACGAAGGTGCCGGTCGGGGAGCTCATTGTGGTGCAAGACCAGGTTGCTCAAAGTCGCTTCTGCCTCGACAAGGGGGTTGTTCATGAAGAAGTAGATCTCGGTCGGGGCCATGTGCTCCGGGACGACTTCTTCGGGGACATCCCCGGTCCTGCCTGCACCATCGGCTCCATCGGTTCCTGCATTGTTCCGCTTTCTCTCGTCCACCGTTTGCAGTTTGTCCAGGTAGTAGCAAGCCTGGTACGCCAACTCTGTGACATCTTCTCGCGGTTGAAGGTGCGATTGTCGTAGAAGGTCGCTCAGGAGGGCTCGTAGGAGTCGGAGTACTTTGAGGACAGAGGTGCCCCCCTGCGCTATCTCCTGCTGCAGCTGCACGATTTGAGCTGACAGTGCAGGTGATGTCCATGTGGAGTGGAGAGCAGGGGCATTGCTGGCTGAGTGAGCCGGCGGTGCATCAGGTGCCCCTCGTTGCATGAAAGAGGTCAGGTCGTCCCCTTCTCGGCTCGGCTTCGGCACCGTCGGTTGTAGGTGGCGGAAGCCCCTCTGCAACAGCACCGGGTCATCTGCAGAAGGATGATGTGGAGGTGGTGGCGGCGGGTCTTCACTGGGCCAGCTGGTTTCCGACTCGGAGATCGCGTCTCCACTCTGTTGTGTCATTTGACGGCTGGGCTGCTGGGCGCCAGGCGTCAAAGTCGGAGTTGGCTGAACACCATCTTGTGACTCCAAGGGGGTATTCCCCTGAACAAGAGGAACTGCAGCTGGTGGTACATGTGGTTGAAGCGGAGCTGGTTCTGTATCAGTATTAACTGGCCGTTGCGCAGGCCTAGCTTTGGTCTTTGCTTTGGCTTTGGCTTTCGGCAGGGAGCTGAAGCCCCGGGGTCTGACTTCAGTGGCGTCGTGTCTTTCAGGAGGGGTGGGTGGTTGTGGAAGCTCCGGCTCGGGAATGCTGGAGTAGCCCCCCAAGATCTCGATGTCGTTGTCGAAGCGTGGCCTGCGTCGCCATTCTAGGCCTTCATCAGACCATTGCAGCCAGAAGGACATGCCTGCAGTTAGGGGAATGGCCCCTGTGGTATTGGAACTTGAGCTGCTGGCTGTGGGTGTAGCATCAACATCCACCATGACAAGCCATAGTCGTGGCGTCCGGATGGCTCCCAGTTCCACCCTCGTAGAAGCCACCCTAAGGCCCCAGGTAACAAGGTGAGACAAAGGCCGTGCGGTAGGTGTCTGGAGCCTGGGGTTGTCCCCGACTGGGTGTTGTAGATGACGAGCGTGGGTTCTTGTCCATGTCTTCGCGGGTGCTTAGCGATCTGCCAAGGGCGTAGATCGGTCACCGTGCCTCGCCACGCTCCTGTTGCAACTCCTCGCAGCGTCAAAATACTGCGTTGCCGAAGTGGAAAGACAGGAGGCAGTGTGGTCGGGGACGCCCCCGCCAACCACGAAAGGTCTTGTGTGTTGGCGCCAGAGCGCACTGTGCTGCGCATCGGCTCTGTGTTTCGCGTGGCAGTCCACTGGGGAGCTCGGCTTTGCGTCACGGCAATTGCTGCATGTGCTTCCAAGTCGGAGAGGCCCTCCGGGTGCTCTATGCCGCTGACCTCTTCTGGAGGCTGTGAGCCATCGGGCCTCGGCGGTGGTTGGTAGAACAGTAAGTCACCCGGGTCGACATCCGCAATGATGGGCTCATGTACTGGAGGTCTTGGCAGCTTAACAACCGGGTATTTGTGGACTTCGTCCCCCCGAAGCTGGAGGTGCGAGCTGTTCGTGAGCTTCCGAGGTATGAACTGAGTTCGCGTAGGCTTCGGAGGGTGCTCACGATGCCCTCTGGGGAGAGAAAAACTGACTTGCCTCTGGCGCTGCTGGCTGTGGTTGTGCTGCTGCGGCTGTCGGGGTTGTGCTGCACGGGCGTGATGTCCTCCGTCATCCCCCTGATGTGGTTCCGGAGGTGTGTCTGCTCGGTGGGATGACCTAGGCGGCTTGTCGTCCTCTGACTGATGCGGAGCCGGCTTAGTCTTGGGTGGGAGCTGTGAATGTGGGGGTTGTTGTCGTGGCTGCTGTCTCATGTCCCGTGGTTGTGTGTCAACCGCCTGCGACCGTGCACTGTCATGAAGGGGAGGATGATGCCTTGGCCGTTCGTCCGGAGGCAACCTGTATGGGTTGTTCTGTCTGCGGGCCGCATGATCTGCTCGTGCTTGTGTGTCTGCCTTGCTGGAAAGTGTGTTTGTGGGTGGTGGGGGGTTGTCACCCCCTGTGGAGGTGCTCCCTGCGGTGGCACGTGAATGCTGCTGTGGCAGTGGCTGTTGTGGAACGATGTTGCCGGCACTGTCATAACTGTAGTGGTGGGAGTTAAGGAGGTTGCTGAGTTCAGCTCTGGTGGCAGCAGATATGGTCGTGCGCGGTGGCTTTTCAGGCGGGATCTCCCCGCGTTTTAGCCATGCCAGGGCTCCCCGCCACGTCAACCAAGCAGGTTTGTGAGGCCACCAGGCCACCCACGTTCCTCCCAAAGTTTTTTGACGTCGGACTTACGGGCCTTATTTTTGACTCGCTGCGATCCATGACCTGCTGGCCTCCGCTGGGGTTTGCTTCCCCTTTGATCAACGGCTGGTGGGTCATGCTCGGTATCTGCTTGCTCGTCATCCGTGTCGCTCTCCCACTCGATCTCGGAATCCTCGTCATCTTCAGGGGCATGAGGGAGCTGCTGCGGGGTTTCCCCCGAGGGGGAAATTTTGTTGGCTGTGGATGTAGTCACAGCAGCGGAGCTAGTGGAGGCGGCAATTTGCTGTGCTGCCGGTGTGGATGCCGGGCAGCTCGAGCTAGAATCGCCATTGCACCCTTCGGGTCCAGCCTGAGGACCGGATGGCATTGTATCGTCGATGGTGTCCGCGGGCTCCATACGTCTCGGCGTCGCTGAAGCTGGGCTCCGTGGTTGGCTGACCCAGACCGAAGGGGTTGCTTCTCCATTGTGACGGTGGAAGGAGCGGCCCTTGGCTGGCGTACCTCCTCGCTAGTTCTCCCCAAGGGTCCATCGTAGGTGGCGAAAAATCGCCTGCACCTGGGGTCGCACCCCGGCGAGATGGCTCGGCTTCAGGTAGAGGCTGACCCCCTTGTAGATGACGGTCAGGTTGTTGTGGTAGAAGAAGCGTAGGTTCCGTTCGCTGCGTCGATGGACTCTGGGCCTCTGCGGGCATCCCGGAAAGACCAGAGGGCTGGGGCTCAGCACCATGGATCACCCCGTCATCATGCCACGGGTCGGCGTCTGCGTCGTATGCACGGGCGTAGCCGATGCGATAGGTCGGATGGGCGGGAAGAGGATGCGAAGGCGTACTCCATGTTGAACTTGACATCGCTGCTGTTGCATGGGCCACTGAAGAAGGTTGCTGTAGTGGTACGTCAGGATCATGTACGGCATGTTCTTCGCGGGCTTGTGGTAGAACAGCGGGATCGCCAGGTCGCGCTGGTTGTGATTTTGCCACTGCATTATGCAAAGGTTGGGGAGCGGCGCTGGCCTGCTGGTGATGGTGATGAACGTGGGCTCCAGGTAATGCGGCCGGAGGCTGTAGGTGTCGATGTACTGGTACAGCAGGGTCTTGTACTCCAGGTAGGACAGCATGAGGGTGCAAGCCCGACACCGTTCTCGTTGGCCGGGAGGAACTCGCCGATGTGGACTCTCTAGAGCTGCTTTGCAGGTTAGCCCGAAATTGTGCTGGGTCTTGCGCTGCCGGGAGGCTGGGCAAAGAAGGGGTACCCCCCTGGCGTGTAACCGGGAGGTCGACCACCTCCACGATGTCCTCAGTGTCGTCATTGTTCTCGGGCGCCAGGTCATCTTCAGGGGGAGCCATTGGTACATCGAGGTCACTGTCAGAGCTACTGGACTGCAAACCCGCGCCAAACAAGTGCCGAACCCCAAAGGCTAAGCACCAAGAAAAGCACGCTCGTCTTGCTCCTGCATCGGCGTCGGTCCAGCGCTGGGCCCATGCTGTCAACGGAGGCTGAGGGTGGGGCAGGCTAAGAGTAGAGGCCTTTCGCTGCAGCCCGAAGCTGAGAGCACGGAGCACTTCCTGTGGGTGGGGCGAGGCAGGGTTTAGGGAGGTGGCAAAGGCTTAAGGCAAGACACAGGCAAAGGCGCGGCGAGGGGCCGCTCACAGGGTTGACCCAGGATTGATGCGAACGATCGACTCTCTAGAACGACCTGGCTCAGAATTGTGCAATGCAGTGGGCAGAAAAGACGGGACATTACGTAGAAGGAAAGCGCCCCTTATGCAAAAAGCAGGCAGCAATTAGGGGGGGAGGGACTAAACCACAAAGGCAACCAAAGACAGGGTGGGGCAGCAAATGAGCAACGAAGTGCATAGGCTTGGGAAGACGCGAAAGTTGGCTTTGCTGGACTGTTTTGGCTTGGGGCATCGACTGCTATGGGCCAGTTCCCCAGCGAGGGGCCACGGCAATGGCTGTAACTTCCTCGTCAGCTGTGTTACGGCGGGGACCACACCGACCCCGGCGGGAGGAGTTAGGGGCAAGGTTTGGCGCCCCTGGCAACGTTAGTTGGGATCCACTTGCCCAGGGTGGGTCAAAGGCATCAAGGAATGCCTGTTGCAGACGGTTCCAGGCGTTTCTGTCCGACGCCGTCACCCACCAATGCGCACCGGCGATGGTGATGATATGCCGCTCGGGGTCCCTATCGGGATTATGGTGGCCTTTATGTCTGACGCCACGGGGATGTGGCCCCGGGGTTTTTGCCTGCTCGTCTCTCCACCACGCCATATCTCGCCACCTGAGAATATGAAAAGTCGGTTGAAATGGCGCTCTAGCAATGTGCCCCCACAAGCCCCATTGCATCTGGAGGGCATGGGTAGACCAACGGAGGATTTTATGCTGATGGAGAAGGGCTCGCGCCCTACGCATGGTTCGGACATGCCACTGATGCCAAGCTTCTGTGGCGGGGCGCTTCCCCGTTATCATTGTTCGCACCTGGAGCAGTTGCGTGCTATTGGCCGCCTGGGCGAGGGCCTTATTATGGGCCACGCGGGGCAGCCCCATAGCGCAGCGCCGCGGACAAGGCTTTGGCGCAGCAACAAACGATCACGGAGGGGTGCGCGTGAACACAAAACATGCTTATGCTGGTGAAAAGCTCTTCGCGCACGTGCCTGCATCTCCGCTACGAATGGGGAAATTTCCCCAGACATGGAGACAGGAGCACCGAGGATGATCATAATGTCGTCTGGGCCGTCAGGCTTGACGGAGTGGCCTCCGATGTCAAAAAGAACAGGGTCGTTTTTCTGATTGGAGATAACTTGGGTCTTTTTGGCATTAATTTTAAGTCCGATCTCTAGCAAGCGGCGCTCGAGCTCAGCGAGAATCTGCTGAACATAGATGGGGGACTCACCCCAGAGGTAAGTATCATCCATGAACGCGGCTCCGGAGTGCGGAGGTGGACCTAGGGCCTCATGCCTGCCAACGTGGGGCGGCGACCCCTGGTTCACAGAACTTAGGGTAGCGTCGAGGATCTCCCCGATCTCAGCAGCGAACAAGACTGGGCTGTCGGGGCTACCTTGTCTCACCCCGTTCGATTGCTCAATGCACACCTGGTGTTTATGCACAAAGAACTGAAGTTCACGTGCTTCAAGGAGACTAAACCAAAGCTTAGCTTCCCAAGGCATGCCGCCCTGCTTGGCGATGCGACGCATGACAAGGTCACCTAGTTTTTCCTGAGCAACCGAATCAAAGGCTTTGGCAATGTCGATTTTGACGATGTAGAAAGGAGTATGCCACTCATGGGCTACTCGCGCAAGCTTCCTTAGGGAGAGAATGAGCTCTACCCCTTGTTTGCCTCTGCTGGCCCACTGGTGGTGACAGCACTGCTGCAAAAGGGGGACCCCCCTGAGTAGGAGTAGTTGTGATGTCCACTTCAGCAGCGCGCTTGAAAGAGTGATCGGCCTAGCGTCGGACCACGAGAGTGGTTGGACGCATTTGGGTAAGAGGACTGAAGCCCCCTGCATGATCAAATGGGGAAGTTTACCTTTGTACAGCCCATCATTCAACAACTCTGCAATCTTGGGGCGCCACGAGGGATGCTCGAACATGAGTCGGAGGGCTTCAAGCGCAATGCCATCAGGACCTGTGGCTCGATGGTTCTTCCAACGTGCCATAGTGATTCGCATTTCAGCCTCGGTAAAAGGGCGCCACGGAGTGCACTTACATAGGGCTGATGCTTCTTCGTGCAGGAGCGCCAGGGCCCTCCTAGTCATCTCTGGGGCAGTTTTGCAGAAAATGCTTCGCATGTGTGCGTCGAGCTGGGATGACCAGGCAGGATCATCGAGCAGTGCGTCAGCCCAATTGGTCTTGGAATCCTTCTTTTTGAGCGATCGGAGAGCGTCCCAATGGTGCTCACCGGCTCTGTCTGCAAGATGGCGCTTCCAACTCTTTCTTTCCTGCTGCAGTGTCCAGGCCTGGCGGGCTTGCGCCCCCGGTGCAAGTTCCCTGGCTTGCCGTCGCAGGAGCTTGAGTGAGTTGCTCTCTTGGAATTTGAGGGACCGGTGCACCGGCACCGTAATCAGCTTGGCTGCGTTGGCAATAGATGCATGCAAGTCTGCCTCCAAGGGGCAATGTTTATCTAACGTGGCCTCTGCTCCAGAGGCAAGCTGGCGGGCGCACCAAAGGACACCTATTTTGGGTTGCTTTCTGAGGGGCAGCCTAAGACTACAGAGGATCGGCTCATGGTCGGAGCTGGCTCGGTCTCTATACTGGCCGACGTGGGCATCGAGCACATGAATGCCACGTGTGGCAACATAGTCAATTCTGCGGGGAGACATGGCTGTATTATAAGGAAAGTACGACGGTTGTTCGATCTCCTGGGCAGGCAAGACAATGCTTTGCTCAAGACACCATTGCAGGATCTGCTCGCCTCGGCCAGTGCAAGACAGGGTGCTCTTGCCGAGGTGGCCCCCGGGTTGGAGGAAAGTTTCATTCGCATCCATACCTAAAAGAAGCCTATCAGTGTGAAGACTCGGCGTCAGTGCCCAATCGGCAAGGCAGGCAGCAGTTTGGGCAATGGTAAATTTATGGGAAATGTGTCCCGAAACAACCCCCAAAGTGCGGCAGTCATGACAGCGAAGATTCATGGTGATGGCGGCTTTGCACAGGCGGGTGTTCTCGTGCGTGTTCAGGACCTTAACAAAAGCGATGGCACATCCTCTCCACTCATTTGTCTGCTTGCCGTGAACTAAAATCCACGATTCATTCTGGTCAAAGTTGGGTCCTCCAGCGGTCGTAATCTCTTGGAGAAGGACGATCTGAAGGCGCTGCAGTTCGGGTGTACCCCGAAAGTTGGCGAGAAAGTCCAGAGTTTTTTCCGGGCTCATCCCCCCGACATTCCAGGTGCCAAAATACAAGATGGCGGCATCATCTTGAGACCGGCCAACAGCACGCGGTGGGTGAGACGGCAGGGGTGTGTCCCCTTCTTCTTCTTCCTGAAAGTCGTCATCTAGTCAGCGGAGCGCTCCAAGTAGAGGCTCCCATGCTTTCTCCAGCTGACCGAGTGGAACTCCGAGCAGTTTTGCGATGGTCTTGAGGTCCACCCATCCGCACCCTGCTGGTTCTGTGTTCGGGGGGCAAGATGACGACCCCGAGCTGACTTTGTGGTCTTTGAACCACACAGTCCCCGTTGCCCATTCTGGCTCGATCTGGGGCAAGGTGGAGGGGCCCCCTGCTTCGATAATCAGGCGCTTGATCTTCCCAGCAAGTGCAGCACGGCGCCGACGCTCAGGTGGTTGACTGATAGTAAGCCACAATCGAGCTGCATTGCCATCTGGTTTGCGGCCAAGGGTCACATTGGCGGCGGCCACGCGCCGAATTATCATCTGCATACGTTGTCGCATAGCTTCCTCGCTCTCACCTTCCTGTGGCGTCGTGGGGATCAAAACAAAGCCCCGGGGAACTCCCGGTACAAAAGCGTCGGACATGTTCAGCTGCAGTTGCAAGTCTCGAGCCATTTCATTCGCCTTCTGGAGAACTTCGCTGGCTTGCGTCTCCGGTGGCCACCCCCCCATGATGAGGGCAGGAACCCGTCCTGTGTCGGCGGTGGACGGGGTGCTCCCCGACGCCTGGATACTCTTGACAGTGGTCTCGAGGAAGCTGATTCTCCCTGCCATGGTCTTGGTGTCATTGGCGATGTCGGCAATGCACAGGGCTTGGTCAGCTTGATTCGTGGATAGGCTCTCCACGGCCTGAAATGTGCGATCATTGTGCTGTTGCAGGTTGCGCTCCACAGCTGCCACACGATCCGAGAGGCCTGTGACCGCCCCTTGGATCTCGCCCCTGACCACGTCACGAATGGCCTCCAAGCTAAGCCCTTCACTCGTTTCTTCTGAGGAGACTCCGACGGCGGACCCATGCCCCCCTGCATTTGGCTATCTGCCATGTAGGTGCGCAGCAGAATCGTCACCTGGTCGAGGACGGCGAGTAGGGTCGCCGATGCAGTAGACGCCGAGGTTTGGCAAAAGGCAGCAAGAACAGGGCAAAGATCCCGAACAGGACTGATGCACAACTAGGTCCTCGTCCGAAGCGGTGTGCAGGAAGGACGCGATCAATACCGTCTCGATCCCGAGCAATGGCAAAGAAGAGAGAGCAGGCACGGAGAGAAGGCTGAGCAAGCGCCCGGGTTGGAGGATCGGGGGGCCTCGCAAGAAGGAAGATCAGGAGAGTCAGGGGCGGAGAGGCCCCCACGTCCTTGAACCACTCACGGCTTGAGCCAAAATGGCTACCCTTTCTCTCTCTCGCTCTTTCTTTCGCCAGGGCTAGGGGCAAGAGGGGCAAGCCCCCCTCACCCGCGCGCGTTAAGCGCCCCCGACATGTGGGGAGCGATTGGTGAGATATGCATGCAACAAAAAGGCAAAGGTGGCCAGTGAAAGTAAGATGCGCTGAAGAAAGAACCGAAAAGCTAATTCAGAAAGCGGAACTAAAGAAGGGTTCTCGCATCTCGATTTCCACCGGCTGCCAGCAATAAGTCTGGCGTAAAGGCCTTGGAAAAAGCTTTCGGGGATCAGAACT